TGTTGGATGCTTTGGTCGGGGGAAGGGGTTTGTTGATTAATGGATTTCACTGCCCAGTCAACTCCTGAGGCTTCATTTTATTAGAGAATCCCTAGAAGCTGGAATCTGGAGATTTCTTTTTAACCATTCAGAGTATGGAAAGAAGAATCCTACCTTCTCCTGCAAAGACAGGAGCGAGGGTGTGATGGGGGAAAGGGAGAGTTTAAGCATGGCCACTGGTATTCTAGGAACAGAAAAGGGGAAGGAAGGCGCCTGACCGCCCCCGTCTTCTGCAATCCATTTTGCCTCCTCTCCCCAAACTGGAGCTTCTTTCATTGAATTTCTCTGGCGAACAAGCCTCTGCTCTCTACAGGGAGGAGCATAGTATGGAAGAAGATACTTGGCGGTTCAGTTGCTCTTGCTTTCTTCAGGCTTTTTATTTTTTTCTTTTGAGACAGAGTCTCGCTCTGTCGCCCAGGCTGGAGTGCAGTGGCGCGATCTCGGCTCACTGCAAGCTCCGCCTCCCGGGTTCACGCCCTTCTCCTGCCTCAGCCTCCTGAGTAGCTGGGACTACAGGCGCCCGCCACCTCGCCCGGCTAATTTTTTGTATTTTTAGTAGAGATGGGGTTTCCTCCGTGTTAGCCAGGATGGTCTCGATCTCCTGACCTCGTGATCCGCCCGCCTTGGCCTCCCAAAGTGCTGGGATTACAGGCGTGAGCCACTGCACCCATCACCCGCTTTCTTCAGGCTTTCAAACAATCCGTGTTTTCGGTGCCACGCCGTATCCCTCCCTTTATTGGCACCTGGAGTCAGCAGTCACTCAGTCTCCCAGGAATTTTGTGGGCCAAATCAACTGGACTCTGAGTGCCCTCTCCCCACTGACAGGGACATTTAGGGTTCAGCTTCTCTTCCTCAGCTCTGCCAAGTTATTTACCAATCCTCTGTTTACTTTTCATCTTGAAAAGAGTTTGACGTCTCTTCTCTACCATTGTCTTTTTTCCAATTCTCTTTGTCATTGTGGGTTATAACCTATTTTTATTATTTTTTGGTCATTTTGGTAGGATTTGGGGGAAAAGGGAGAGAAATATTTGTGATTGATTCATCATGATTTACTGCAACTCTATCTACTTCCCAAGAGCAAAGAATTCTTCTAAGAAACATGAGCTAGTTTTATTCCTTTTGATTGAAATATCCTTTGTTCTTTTCTCCCTTGTGCCTCTTGGGGGGATTCCCACACACACTGAGATCCTCTAAGACAGAACTGAAAAGAAAAGCTTGGAGTATTTTACCACATTACCACAACTCTTCCTTTAGGCCTGGCTCTGGGATTTTGGAAAGATGAACTCGTTCAAGCATTTTTTCTCAAAAAAATTTAGACATTATTTCTGAGCTATGTATACTTTTATTCAGTGGACCTTCCTGAATATCATTTGATTCCTAAATATTATTTTCAAATGTCCCTCTAAATGGATAAATGGTTCAATGTTTTGAGTCTGACATATGAACTGGGCAGGAAGGAAGACTGGGTGTTATGAGGTAACAGTAAGTATCAGAGTTAGTGGTAACAAAGTCTAATAATAGGACTTCCTGTGGTGACTTCCAGAAATTTTCCAGTAAGTTCCAGTGCCATCATCTAGGGCAAATGCAAATTCAGGCATAGGGACTCAGATAAGAGGAACTTCAGGAGGACTTTCTAAGGAAGCAACATTTGAAATGGGACTTTCCAGACAAAGGGACCAGAAGTGCAAATGCCTTGCATTTCTCCCAGCAATCTTGGCATGATCAGGGAACTAGAAGAAGGCTAGTTTACCTGAAACATTGTAAACAGAGAGAGTTTTCAAGTGAGGAGATGTAATCAGAGAGGCCATCAGCAGCCAGATTAAGTTGGGTCTTATAAACCCTGATAAGGAGTTTAGCTTGTGTTCTAAGTGGACTGGGAAGCCACTGGAGGATTGCAAGCAAGAAAATGATTAATCTGATCTGTGTTTTAGAAAGAGCACTGTGGTGGAGGATGGTCTGCAGCAAGGTAAGAGTAGAAGTAGCAAGACCAAGACAGGAAGTTATTGCTATAATCCAGATGAGAGACAATAGTGGCTTGGAATTAGGGAGTGGTAAAAGAGATGCAGAGAAATAGATAGACTTGTTATATGCTACAGTGGTAGAACCCACAGGACTGCTTAGTGGATTGTATATGAGGAGTGAAGTCTGATGTGATCCCAGATTTATTTGGTAGTCTTTGACTGGTTCCCAGATTACTGGGATACTATACTTCTGAAACCCCTAAGATTGAGTAAGTGCCTCTTATAATTGATGTAATGGGAATTTACTGACAAATTCTGTACTTAAAGAACAGACAGAAGAACTTATGTTATTGATGATCTCCTCAAGTCTCCCAATTTTATGACTTTAAATACATTCTATATGGCTAACGACTCCCACATTTATATCTTCAAATGGACTACTTCCTTGAGCTTCAGACTCATAGCCCCACTTTCTCACTTTCCATCCAAATGCGGCATAAACAAAACTGAGCTCATGATCTTTCCAACCTGCAGCCCCTGCAGTCTTTCTCATCTCAGTTAGGGCAGCTCCATTGCTCCAGTTATTCAAGCAGAGGCGTTGGAGTCATCCTGAATACTCTCTCTTTTTCTCTCTCTCTCTCTCTCTCTCTCTCTCTCTCTATATATATATATATATATATATATATAGTCTTTTAGGAATCCCACATTCAAAGTATATTCAGAATTGCCCACTCCTCGCTGCCTTCCATGTGCCACTGCCCTCATCTAAACTGCCATTTTCTCTCATCTGGATCCCTGCAAGGGACTTCTAACTGTCCTTGCCACTTCTGCCTTGCCCTCTGTGTTCAACTCTGAATATATCAGTCAGAGTGATCTTTTAAAAATATCACAAGTCCCTTCTTAGTCTGTTCGGATTGCTACAACAATACCATAAACTAGGTGGCTTATAAACAACAGAAATTCATTGCTCAGAGCTCTCATGGCTGGGATGCCCAAGACCAAGATGACAACAGATTTGGGGCTGATGAGGGCCCACTTCCTGGTTCATAGACGATGCCTTCCCTCTGAATCCTTAAAGGATTATATGGCAGAAGGGGCAAGAGTGCTCTCTGGGGTCTCTTTAATTAATATAAGGGCACTAATCTCATCATGAGGGCAGAGCCCTCACTATCTAATCACCTTTCCTAAAGCCCCAACTCCTAATATCATCACATTGATGCGGTCTCATTATATGAATTTTGAGGGGACACAGACATTCAGAACATTGAAGGTCTCATAACCTTTCTGTATAATATGCTCCAGTGGCTCTTAGTTTTCCTCAGCATAAAAGCCAAAGGTCCTACATGATCTCATTCTTTGACCTTAGCTCCTACTCGGAATATTAGGAAATACTTTCTTTCAAGGCTCTGTGCTAAAAAAAAAAAAAAAAAAAAAAAAAAAAAAGTTTGTTATGAGACATCTTTAACTGAGTTTTCATTCTTCCCCCAAAACATACACAAATACAAGAAATAATGGTCCTACATTTTGGCTATAAATATTTCCATAAACAGAGTATGTCCTTTAAAGGAGTTGGACTGACTAGTGAGCCACAATTTAAAGGGTAAACAGTGGGTAGGGGGCAGCATATTGGAATTGCAGCTTAGAATCCTTGGCCAAAGAAAATGTACACAAAAGAATTACAGAATTCCCCTTTCCCCTCTTCTGGTCACTTTGTTTATTCCATTTTGTTTAGATTGATGAGGCTATGTGACTTCAGCTTGTAACATTTAATTTATTGCTACTAATTTTTATTAGTTTATAAATATAAGCTATTAATTTTTTAGTACTTTGAGAAGAAAAGAGAAAAATCTTTGGACTGATTAGGAGTATATTTTAAGGGCAGGAGCCTGGAATAGGGTGCCTGGAACAATGTCTAGTGACCACTTTGTACTTTGTATTTTCCTTCAGAAACTGGTGTTACATGATAATCAGCCTTAAAAACTGGCAGAACATGATCAAATTTAGGATGGGTGGCATTGAGGCATTACACTAAGAAGTATTTTGTGTTTTGGTCATTACAGCAATTGTGTTGAAATTACTGTATCTTCATGGCCAAAACTCTATTATGATTAAGGAAGAATTTTAGCCAATGTCCATAATTAGGAAATAGTAGTCAAAGAGATTCGTAATTTTTGACCTGTATTTTTATGGTACAGAATAATCATTTGTTAATTTTTTTTCAAAATGAAAATGGGCTGAAGTTTTTCTGATTATAAACTTAAAACAAGTCAGATGATACACAAAAGTCTAAAGAAAAAGCAAAAATCAGAATCTCTCTTCCCAGAGATATCTGTTCTTAATACGTAAGTCTATTGCTACCATACTTTTTCTGTTTTTTAATAGAAGTATAAACCTAAAGTGGGATCATAACTCTACATACTGTTTTACAGCCTCCTTTCTGCTCAACAGTGTATCAAGAACAAATTTATATGATAGCAAATTTGGATCTAAATAACCCCTTTTAATGGCTACATAATACATGACAAAGATGCCTTTTATTTTTTCAAAAAATATACCGGTAGACAAATGAATCTAGCTTACCTTAAAGATTTAAAAGGTATACAATTTAAGAAATATAAGGACATTCTATTTTGCTGACATATAATATCAACCATTAAACTAAAAGGACTTTTAAATATTTTTAACAAAATATCACTATAGTCTTAGTCACTGAATGAGCAGATTCTGTGGCAACTGCAACAAGTATTTATTGAACACCTACTAAGTGCCAGCACTGATCTTGTTGTTGGGGATATTTTGATGAATTAGATAGGCAAGATCCCTGCTCAAAGAATTTACATTCTGGAGGGTCAGAAGCAATAAGAAATTGTAAGAAATAAGAAAAATCTCAGATATTGAAGCATATACGGTTTTATGTTTTCATGATAAAAATTGAAACCGACATTTTGGTCTTGAATTCGACAGATTGAGTCAAATTATATATTATAATTATATTTTCAGGTTTGAAGACAGTGAAAAACAAATAGATTATAAGTCATTTTTCTCTGCCCTGAACTGGAGAAAGAATCCAGTGCCTGAATTGCAACCAGCATCATACCTTAAAGAGGTAAAATGAACACTTATTTTAAAAACCATCTATGGTTACTTCCCTTGCATGTTTAATATCCTTTATCTTTAAATTATTTTTCATCATAAAATATTAATACCAGTGCTTTTGGAAAGAGTGCTTATGTGTTTCTGGGTATTTGTGTTAAAGGCTAATTTACTTTCCATGCTGAGCAAACATCTGCTCTGTAAAAGCATGACTTTTCTTATGCAGCTGAATTTTTTTTTAACCTCGGTCGCATCCAATTATATGGAAAATAGGAGAATAGGTTACAGTTATAAATAGATATAAACACTGTTATCAAGGGATTCTGGTAACATCATCATAAGCCACAAGAGCAAATCTCAAATGGTGCCTATGGCAAGAATCCCTAGGGTATCCGTGACTGTGCACCCAGGTTTGCCATGGGTGAAACAATAGAATATGGGGATGCACATTTCACGGTGGAGCCAAATTTAAAATCAAAATTCCATAGAAAAATGCTTGGTTAGGGAAAACAAAGTTCACGTGATCAGATGGTGCTCTCAACATTGTGGAATTGTCTGAATTCTCTAAGATCTCTTTAGACCAATTGTCTTTAAGAAGTGGGTGGGTGGGTGGTGGTTTGTTTGTATTTTAACATGCTCCAGAAATTGATTTTCTTGGGAAAGTCCCTTGATAAAGCAAATGTCATGTGGTTGATACTCCCAGAAAGGAGGCATTTATTTCTCCCGGTCTCTGCTGACCAGCTCATTCTGGCTGGAGCTGGTCTAGTGCCCCTGGGAATTCCCTCAGGCATGCAGCTACTCCAAGGGCAGCCATAGAACTTCCAGATGGTTGGGGGAAAGTAGTAGCCTTTGGAGTCAGACAGAGCTGGGTTTGAATTTTGGCCCTGCCACCTACTTAGCTGAATGACTTTGGGTCAGTTAAGTTACTTATCTTGTTCATTTATGAATGTAATCCCCAGACAAATCAGGATTAAGTATCGACTCTCATCAGGTTCTCTGCTCTAGGCTAGGGTCCAGAGACAAAAATTGTCATTGCTACCTTTGAGGGGCCCACTACTGATGCGGGAATTGGTACCCTCATGATTTGGAGTGCAGCGTGATACAGCCTGCATGGGATTCTATGGGATGAGGAGGTAGCTGCTTCTAAACAGACTGGGGGGAACAGGAAGTATTTTCAGGGGAGGTGACATTTGAAATTTCAATGATGAGTAGTAAGAGTTAGCAAGGTAGGAAAGTGACATGGTCTGGAAAAAGCATTTCCAACAGAATTCTCTGGACATGGGACAGCATGGTACTTGTACAGAACCAGGAGGAACTGGTGTGGCCAGAGCAAAGGCACATGGGGAAGAGGTGAAAAGGATGAAGCTGAGATACCTGCACGGGTAACATTTGAATATTGTCCTGTGAGGTCTGGAGACCACTGACTAACTTCAAGGAAGACAGCAACATGATCAAGAGTGCCCTTTACACAGAACTTGCTTTGGCTGGATGGTGGGTGGACTGGAGATGGAGTCTCACTCTGTCACCCAGGCTGGAGTGCAGTGGTGCGATCTCAGGTCACCACAATCTTCACCTCCCGGGTTCAAACGATTCTCCTGCCTCAGCCTCCCGAACAGCTGGGATTACAGGCATGTGCCACCACACCCAGCTAATTTTTGTATTTTTGGTAGAGACAGGGTTTCACCATGTTGGCCAGGCTGGTCTCGAACTCCCGACCTCAAGTGGTCCACCCGCCTTGGCCTCCCAAAGTGCTGGGATTACAGATGTGAGCCACTATGCCTGGCCATGGAGGCTCTTGTCCTGTTGTCCCCATAAATAACGGCAAACACTTAAAGCATTTACTGTGTGCCAACTACTGTTCTAAGATCTCAAAATCACTTAGCTTATTTAATCCTCTTAGCAATCTTAGGTACTTTTATTATTCCCAGTTTAGAGATGAGGAAGTTAGATAAACAGCAATGTAAGGCAGAGTCAGAATTTTAACTCAGGTCTCTTGCTGCAAAGAATAAAAAAGAAAACTGTCCTTCAAATATAATTATTTTTGAAGATACTGGATTGGATTAACCCAAATCTGAAATACTATCACAAAAACAAATCAGTACTGTCATTTGCCCTGATAACCCTTTCATTCTTATCCATGTGAATATTTAATTTTTACATACAAATAGAAACATGGTAGATGGGATTTATATTCTTCTACCTTTTCATTGAATGTTCTAGTAGTCTGTATTGACTGCATCCCTATGTCCCTTTAGGACTGCTCTCCAGAGCCCTTTACCGTGCTCTGACCCTGCCCAGGCCAGTCCTTGGCAGCTGACCTTTGTAGGCCACATGAGTGGGTCCCCTAGCCCTCTGGCCTCCAGTTGGGTTGACCAGTGGGATGCACCAGCAGGAGAGTAGAGGGTGAAAGGAGAGAGCAATCTTCTTCCTCCCTGCCAGTCACACCAGATTGACGGCCTCCTCCTTCAAAGTCCACAGCACTTGTCTAGAGGCTCTTTGCATATGGCTGGCCACTCTAGGCTCTGGTGACCACCTTCATGTGCCCCTTCAGCCTCAGGCGGTAGTAATGGCTCCCTGCTGTTATAAACCCAGGGGATTATCCCCTGTTGGTTTTCCTAAACACTTCCCACAACTTTGTAACTAGTCACTTTATTAAACTCTTCTCAATTTCCACAGTTTGCATATGTCCTCCATTTCCCATGAGACCCTGAATAATATATAGGACATACCTATTTTTGCTATAATCCTTTGTCATTCTTTTCCTTACTTTCTACTTCTCTCTTTCCTCTTCCATTCCATTCAGTCCACCACCCAAATGTTTACCTCTGTGTTGGGGGTTTTATTTCATCATGTATTGTGTGAAAATATGTTTATACCACATGCATTTATCTGGAGTATGCTTTTCTTTCTTAATCATGGAAAATTTCCCTAGTTTAATATGTATAGGCCTAAACCATTCTTAATAGCTGTAGTGTGAATATATAATAATTTATTAATCTCTTTTTTTTTTCTTTTTTTTTTTTGAGACGAAGTCTCACTCCCAAGCTGGCGTGATCTTGGCTCGCTGCAACCTCCACCTCCCAGGTTCAAGCGATTCTCCTGCCTCAGCTTCCTGAGTTGCTGGGACTGTAAGCATACGCCACCATGCCTGGCTAATTTTTTTGTATTTTTAGTAGAGACAGGTTTTTACCATGTTGGCCAGGCTGGTCTTGAACTCCTGACCTTGTGATTCGCCCGCCTCGGCCTCCCAAAGTGCTGGGATTACAGGCATGAGCCACCGCGCCTGGCTCTATTAATCTGCTCTTTATTGACAGGCATCCAGGTTGTTTTTTATTTTGCCTCTGAAAACATACCTTACTACTTACTACTTTAAATTTTATTTTCCTGATGACTATTGAGTTTGAATGAGATCCAATCATCTTTTTGTACTACAACCTACAGTAAGAAAGATACTTTTTTCATAACAACACAGCATGCACATATATAACGGAATCTAAGATTTCATGGATTAATACTGTTCTGACTACATGTGGTGTAGTATGATACAGTCTTTTCTTTTTCCATTTCTCTCTTCCTTTCTTTTCTTTTCCTTTTTGTCATTACCCACTACCTCTTTTTCTCCTCTCTTTTGAATGTTGTTCATGACCCATTAAATTGATTTCATGACCCACAAAAAGATCACCATACACACTAGAAGAGAAGTCACCGCATGGGATGGCCAAAGATCCACTCTGCCTTTAATCACCTCTCCCCAGTTTCATCACTTTTCAACTCTGTCAACCGGGATAGGTATCGAGCCCTGGACCTCAGATGCTTTTGAGAGGCAATGTAGAACAGAAGGTCTCCAATCACAGGGACCCTGGTTCAAATCCTTAGCTCTATGATCAACTAACTGGGTGACTTTTTACAAATTACTCAACCTTTCAGGTTTTCCCCCATCTCAAAAATGGTGATAAGAATAGTACTTCCATTAGGGTTGTGAGGATTAAGGAAGTCAATATACACAAGTCACTTATCACAATACCTCTGCCATAGTAAGGGCTTAAGTGTTGGATGCTATTATTTTTTGTAAAATGGAGATGTCTTGCTTTCCTCAAGTCAGGGGGCTGGGCAGTCCCTGCCAAGGTTAAGATGGGAGATTCTATTCTTAATGGCAAGAGAATGGTTCTAGGCCAGGAATGTCACATCAGAAACAGCTTGGGCTTCAGCACTAGGTTCTTCTAATTGCAATTCATTTATGGTGAGAACTTTACTCATAGGGCCTCATCAATTCTGCTGATAAAGCCTAGAAGTATTTCAGTCTGCAGGAGGCATTCGGAAAGGACTATTCTTTTTCAGCCACTTAAAAAAAGAAAAGAAAATAAATATAAAATGGTACCTGATCAATTTCACCAACAATGAGAACTTAACTAGATTCCAAAGAGTTTGAAGCACTCTGGTACTGATAAGCTTGTTATTATTTCATAAAGACATAAAATAGCTTGGGAATATTACCAGTGAGTCTATAATCTCATGTGAAAATATTTAGCATGAAGGGCTTGAGCACAATGTTGAATAGTTTATTCAGTAGAATACAGGAGCAAAAAGTATAATATCTACTGACCCATGTAAGTGTGCTCACATGTTATTAATAATGTTGAATAACTGCTGGGTCAGAGTTTGTCACAGGTGGGGTTCTCCAGGAAGCAGATGGAGTCTAATGTGTAGGATATTTATTTGAGAGTGTCCTTGGGATCATCTCCCATGAAAGGTGGGGGAAAAGAAGAAGAGTGGGCAGAGGGAGAAGTTGAACTGTGATACAAGCCCAAAGATAGCCTTGGCCAACCCATAGGGAGCTCTGGAGTTAGCATGTCTTTTCAGCGTTGTCCTGAGTTGGGCCAGAATGGCCTGGCCTTTGTCCCGGTGGGTTGGTTCAAGAAGAGATATGACTTTGTGCAGCGTGGCTCTTTGCAGCCAAGACATGTTTGTAGCTCAGGAAATCCATGAAGGGGACTCCCAGCAGCTGGGCCACCA